TGGGAGAGGTGGGGAGGGTTGGGGAGGGGTGGGAGAGGGGCTCACACCCGCCCCTCCCACTGCCTGGCCGCTGACCTCCCTCCTGCCAGGACTGCATCCTGTTCTCCCTGAGTGCTGAAGAAGTACCGAGCAGCCGCAGAGAGGGTCTGCCACAGGCACAGGAACGTGGGTACACACTCACACACGCACACACATGCACACAGATATATACACATGGACACAAACATGTGTACATGGACACAGACACAGACACACATGGAAATGTGTGCTTGTGCGCTGACACACATGCACACAGTGGACATGCAAGTGTGTGTACCACGCGATCAGAGTTCCTCAAACCCAACCTCCAGTGCTGTTGACACATGGAAACCAGACTGTCCGGTCCCCTGGGACTCGCATGCCGTGCCGTGCAGGTCACTGGAGATGGCTCCAGGACAGGCCTCTGCCTTTCACAACCAATGCTAAGAGGATGGGTTCAAGTCACTTAAGAAAATGCCCTGGATGTGCACAGGGAGGAGGAGGGAGGGGCTCAGTCCTCCCTGGGTAGAAAGCCCTGCGGGCTCTGTCCCCTCTCATGGAGCTGGGCCAGGGACCGGTGAGGAGGGGGACAGGACTGTCACACAGAGGCACTGCTCTGCTCTCCTTGATGTCAGGACAGAGGCTGGACAGAGCAGAGGGGACAGAAGAGGCAAAGGTCACCTTCTGCTGTCTCCACAGCACCAGCGTCCCACAGTGCCCGGGGCGGGGCCGGCTGGGTCTCGGGAGGTGACCAGAGCATAGCAATGCAGGCAGGGTGTCTGTGTGTGTGCGTGCGTGCGTGTGCGCGCACACACACGCACATGCAAGACACTCACATGAATGTCACTGAAATAAAACCACCAGGGGCCGCCAAGGTTCCCCTGCACAGCCTTCCCTACCCCGAGACTGGTTAGCTGTCCCCTGCAGCCCAGTGCAGAGGCCAGGTGACTGACTCCCGGCTGCGCTGCTGTGGAGAGGCCTGGCCCCTGCGGTGGACACACAGCCAACGCGGCGGACACAGTGAGGGCGCTCGGCCACAGGGGGGCGCCCGCGGCCAGAGATTGGTTCTCAGGGTTGAGAGAAGGTAGCAGTAGAGTCTGATTCCTTAGGTTTGCCCACATCCACCAAAAAGGAGACAGACTCTCCCTCCAGTGCTCCCAGGTGAAGTAGGCAAGGCAGGGCCTGACCCAGAGCACAATGGCCCTGTTGGAAAGGAAGTTACACACACACACACACACACACACACACACACACACACACACACACACCATCTGAGACCAGCATTCACCTACAGCGTATCAGGACAGGACCCCACACAGGAGCCCACAGGCAAAGCCTGTCTCCCGGGAGGTAACTCCCAGCCCCCCTCTTCCCTCCCATGTGCCCCACGGCTCACAGCACACCTCCAGCCCCCTCCCTCTGGCTGGAGGGCTGCACTTACCACCCATGAAGGAAATCTAGCCGCGCTGCCAGTGCAGCTACGGGTCAGCAAAGTGACCCTAGGGCTACACATTCACCTGGGGGCACCCTGAGACTTGTGCCCCACGCCACAAGCTCTGGGACAAGAAAATCTTGTCACCTGTGTCCTCCACTGCCAGCACGAGCCCTGGCTCCCAATGAAGCTGCAGCCTTGAGTAAGAAGCGCATGTATGGCTCACAGGGACTGCACTGCACTAGCTTCTGTCCATAGCTAAGAGAGACCGAGAGACACAAAGAGCAGAAGAGGAGGAGGAAGCAGGAGATGGGAGGAGGGAGAGGAGGGGAGAGGAAGGAGGAAAGGGAGGGGGAGCGGAGGGAAGGGGAAGAGAGGAGAGAGGACAGAAGAGGAGGGGGTTGGTCACCCAAGCCAGTCTCTAGCCTGTTATATCCGACCTGAGCTGAGAAAGGATTTCGTATCTTTAAAGGGGGAAAAAATCAAAAGAAACCTAACAGTTCACAACTCATGAGGGTTCTTTGTAATCAAATTTCTGCTGGCAGGTGGCAGAGCTCACACGTTATGTTCTGAGAGGTGAGGACCAGGGGTTCGGCTGCTGCCGAGGGCGCTGACACGCCCCCACCCCCAAAGTGTCAGGCCGCGGTCCGCAAAGGGCAGAAACTTACCCTGCTCCATCATCTCCATCAGCCCCTGCTTGATGAGCTCCTCGCGGCCCTGTCTGCCAGCCATCTTCTTCTCCAGAGCTGCACAGCACACAAACGTCTGGGTGAGTCTGGGTGAGATAGAGCTGCCCTACCAGCCGTGCCAGTGACCCCTGATGGGCAGAGGGGAAGGCAGGGTCCCCACGATGTGGAGGTGCGGAGTCTCCCCATCCTGGAGGCCACCCTGGACATGGAGGCCCCTGCGCTGACCCTGGGGCCATCCAGAGACCCAGAGGTGCAGCCCGGTTTGCTGTCCCCCGAGGAACGGAGCCACCCACCCCACCCAGACACCTGCCAGGACCAACAGGTTGAGGATTTTAAGTAGTGACGGAAGGACTGCTGTCATTCCTGACCAGGTGGAGGCCCAGTGTGGTGGAGAACAGAAGTGCCCGTGCTGTGCCAGTCTGAATGCTGAGGGTCTGCCGTCCTTACCCCGCCCAGCCACAGGGCCATGCAGAGCCCCAGGGGCCTGGGCCTCTTTAGAGTGGGGCTACAGGACCACAGAGGCAGCAGCCTGAGGCAGGAACGTGCCAGGCTTGTTCCCAAGGCCCAGGATGGATTCCTGGGAGCAGAAAGCTCACTCATTGTTTTCGGCTTGCAGAGGAGGCCATGTGTGGCTGTGCCGCTTGGGACCTGTGCTTAGGGACGCTGAGCCGAGGGCTGTGAGCCAGGCCAGCTCCCTGCTGGCCGGCCTGGGTGAGCTGCCTCCCCTCCAGGAGCCTAATTCCTGTCCCTCGGGCAACAGGGCTGTGTGCACACACCGAGCTCTGGGGAGGTGTGTGGCTGCCCAACACTGCCCTGTCGGCAGACCCCGCTGCATGGCCTCCCAGCCAGCTGACCTCGCCGGGGTCACCCCGCCACGCTTTTGTGACCACAGTGCATTCCGAGGAGGCAGTGGGGTAACCCGGCGCACCCCAGCTTCTCACAGAGCTGGGACTGGCAGGGTGTGAGGCTTCTGTGAGGGCTGACTAGACCCTTTGGTGGGAAGTACTGGGCCTGGCGAACAGAGCGCTTAGCTGCCGGGAGGAGCCTGAAGATGCCAGGACCTGACTGAGGGTCTTGCCCTTCAGAATCACCCCGGGGCTTCTAGAAGCAGCCAGCCAGGCTCTGTTCTGGACACCACGATTGAGGTGAGGACTATGGTGAGCTGTGGGCTTGGTGCTTGTTGCTAAATAGCATTTTTGAACAAAAGTGCCAGGGCTCCCTCTGGCACTGCAGTTAGCAAGGCCGCGGTGACTTGTGTGCAATCTATGTCTGGGCAGTGTCGCTGTGCACTGCCTGGTGCTGACCATCCCCTGCCAGATGGAGAGGGGCTGGGCAGCACCTCTGCCAGTGAGCAGAGGGCAGAGCCTGTCCTGCCGTGTGAGGCTGAGAGAGGACGCTGGGCTGCCCAGCTGCGGGAAGCTGAGGACGCCAGACTGTCCAGCCGCAGCAGCTGCCTGCCCAGGCACTCACCCGACGTTGTCTGCTTCAGCTTCTCGTTTTTCTTTTTCCTCCATTTCCAGGGTTTGAAGATACGGCCTAGCGTGGCCAGCTTGCTGTTCCTCCTCACGGGGGGTGTTCGGCTCCCTGGGACCAGGTACTCGGAGCGCACTGGTGGCGTTTGCTCCATCTCATCTGTGAAGCCAGAACCAAGGGACAGAGTCAAGAGACCAGCAAACCTCCTGACCCCCTGGCCCGGAGCCCGAGTGTTGGCAGAGCTGTAGTCTCCAGATGCATCTGAGCCAGGTGCTTGCTGATGGAAAAAATCCTCCCCTGCCTCAGGACCTTTGTCCATGCTGTGCTGCACAGAGCCACACCCCCCCCCCCACTCCCATCCTCCACTGCTCACCCATCTAACTCAGATAAGCACGTTCCTCCAGGAAATCACCTTCTGCCCCGGGTAGGATGAGGCCTTTGTCTTGTGGTGTAGAGGCCCAGCTTAAGACATCAGCCAGGCCCGGCCAGGCACCGCTGTGGCCACCCTACTGCAGCAGGCTGGCCTGTCACAGCGCCACTGTGAGCAAGCCCATCCCTGAATGGAGGAAGGAAGCACTGGCTGTCCCCAGGCCTCGAATCACACCCTGCTGGACACAACGCGGACAGACAGCCCAGGGAGCTGGGGGCAGTGTCGTGACGTGAGCAAGGACACGGCCATCTGCATGTCCACCAGGACGGCTGGGGCGGTCCTTGCTCTCACCAGCCCAGCAGAGCTGTTCCTACAGGCAGAAGACAGAGCCAAGAAAATAATCACATGGCCCGTACTGCCAGCCTGGACGGGCGGTGCGGGCCGGTGACCACAGAGGACGGGGACACAACGCAGGCCGTGGCCTCGGACCAGGGGACGCTTCTCCCTGGAAATGTAGCTACAAGGAAACCAAGTTGCAGGGATGCTGGCTCTCCTCTGGCAGCTGGCGACTGCTGGCCGGTTTACAGACAGGCCAGGCGAGCGCTGGGGCCGGAGCCACTGTGTGGACGGGTGGCCGTGCTGACTTCCCAGAACGAGGGGTGGGGCCACCTCCATTCACCACCCAGACGGGGCACACCAAGGCCCGTGGGACGGACAGGGAGGGGGCCGGGGCGGGGCGGGCCCCCGGCCCCGACTGCTGACACAGCCCCGGGCGGGCCGGGGAGCCGCTGCCGCCCGCCCTGCAGACCCAGCCACCACGACAGAAACGCCCGCAGCGACTCCCCACCCAGGTCATGGGTGCCCACTGGGACCCCGGGAAGTCAGAGGGCTGAGGTCAACCACAGGTGACCCCCCACACACACACGTGCCCGGGCGGCGAGGCTGAGCACGCGCAGTGCAGAAAGCAGTGGTGCTGAGCATGCGCAGTACCCAGGCAGCAAGTCTGAGCACGCACAGTGCACCCCACCCCACAAGCCGGGGCAGCGAGGCCGAGCACGTGCGGTGTCTAGACGTCGATGCTGAGCATGCGCAGTGCAGAAGATAGCGATGATGAGCATGCTCAGTGCCCAGGCGGCAAGGCTGAGCTCACGCAGCGCAGAAGGTGGCGATGCTGAGCACGCGTGTTACACCCTACCCCCACGTGCCCACGCGGCAGTGATGAGCATGCGCAGTGTCCGCCTGCAAGCTGAGCATGCGCAGTGCAGAAGGCAACAATGCTTAGTATATGCAGTGCCCAGGCAGCGAGGCTGAGCACGCACAGTGCAGAAGGCGGCGGTACTGAGCATGCGCAGTGCACCCCACCTCACGTGAACAGGCGGCGACGCTGAGCACACGTATTTGCACCCCTCCCATGTGCCCAGGCGGTAGTGTTGAGAATGCGCAGTGCCCAGGCAGCAAGGCTGAGCACGCACAGTGCAGAAGGCGGCGGTGCTGAGCATGCGTAGTGCAAGCCACTCCATGTGTCCAGGCGGCGATGCTGAGCATGCGCAGTGCAGAAGTCCCCCCCCCCCCATCTTCCCAAAGGCGCCTGGTCCCGCGCCTCTCCCCCTCCCTCCGCCCACAGACACCAGATGGGCTGGGAACTGCCAGTCCACTGGCCCGCGGAGCCGGCTGTCCTGGAAACGCTGCTGCTGCTGGATGGGATGGAGGAGGCCCGGCCGGAGCGGATGGGTGTGTCCCGCAGTGTGTGCCGGTCTGCTCACAGAGGCCTGCTGGCGGCGGCTCCGGGGAGCCCGGGAGAACCCCAGCATCAAGGCGTTAGCCACGCGCCTCCGGAGTGTGGCCGGAGCTCCTGGCAGCCAGGGCAAAAGGAACGGGACGCAGAACAAACTACAAATCAGAGCTGAGTCTGATGGCTGACCCCGTGTTGCCGTGGCCCGGCCCGGCCCGGCCATGCGCGTCTCCACCCCGGACGCCTCCAGAGATCTCCCCGCCGGCCTGGAATCCGTAGGCCTCCATCCCATCGGCTCGGCTCTCCCCCCGCCCCCAGGGTCCCCTTTCTCAGGACAGCAGTACCCACCAGGACTGCGCATGCTCAGCGCCATTCCTGCACATGGATGGCATTGCAGGCTTGCGGCCAGTCTACCTCCAGTGGGAAACGACGCTCCGGCACTGACTAAAGGGAGAGTGAAGGCTGACCTCTCCCCCACGCCTCTCCTCACTCTGACCTGCCTCGCTGTGGGGATGTGGTTCCTGCAAGGGGTTCTAAGCCCACCCCACCTCCGTCCACGTCCATCACCTCCATCATCACTACCGTCACCACCACCACCACCATCACCAGTTCATCATCTCAGTGTTGCAATGAGCCACCTCCTGCTTGCCCTGCCTGCTCTTCATTCCACCCTCTGAGCAGGTGCTGGGGCACTGCCTGGACCTCTGACAGACAAGGGTCAGAGCACAGAGGACAGCAGGGGACGAGACCACTGATAAGACTATTCTCCTCCCTCCCCTTAAGAATCCACTCATTCATTTTACCATCTTACCGATCCGAATTAGGACCAACCATGTGTCAGGATCATGCTAGGGGCGGGGTACAGAAGGGGGCCAAAGCACCTGGACACCCGCTTCTCTGGGGCCTCGGCCGCCTGCTGGAGGTAGACAGTAACCAGAGGTGTTCATCGAGAGCAGGGCCTTAGTCTTTGCTCATCCCATAGCAGCTCTCCTCCCACCTGCCTGTGTGTCCACAGCTGCCATGCACTTGTGACACCTGTGCACGTGCGTGTGTTACTGTTTGCTTCACTCCCCACCCGAGGGCAGGGCTCCAAAGGGCATTGTAGCCGCTGTGTAACCCCAGGATGGCCCCCAGAATGGTGTAGTGCACTCAAGGCAGGGGTGGCTGGAGCCGGGCTGTGTGCTGGCCAGCAGCAGTAGGGGCAGTCAGGACCAGTCTGAGCAGGACGGTAGAAGCACAGCCTGGCGCAGCCGGTGTGGGCAGCCCTGCCCTGCCCAGGGCCACAGGCTTCCTGGAGGAAGAAGTAGAGCGCCTGGGGGGTCACAGAGCAGTCACAGGGCTTAGTCCCCGCTCGAGCCATGGAAGGTCTTCGGGTCAAAGAGCATGCATCCCAAATACCTGATAGTCACCCAGGACAGACAGCACCCCACCCGAGCACCTTGGGGTCCCGGGTGCCATGGGAGCACAGACCACAGCAGGCCCAGGCTCCCAGAGGCCCGCAGGCCAAGCCCAGGCCCGGGGGGAGGCTGGCCGGGCCATGCTCTCCCTGCCAGAAGTGGAAAGGTCAAGGTGGGTGTCCTGCCATACTGCAGGAGCTGCTGAGAAACACCCAGTGCAGAGCAGGCGTGGTAAGTGCCTGTGCATGCGTGTGACCCTGTGCATGCGTGTGGGGATCTGTGTGCGCAACAGGGAGGTGGGACTTCCAGAGCAGGGACTGCCGCCAGTGAGTGTTAGGCAGGCTGTGTGAAGGGTGGCTGTGCATGTCTGAGGGTGGGGTGCGTGTCTGAGGGTGGGGGCACACACACCTGTGCATGTCTGGGGGGGTGCGTGTCTGAGGGTAGGGGCACACATGTCCCTTCCCTGGAGGGAGGGACAGGTCGGGGCTCAGACCCCTTCCACTGAATTCCTCCTCTGCCTCTTCCGGGAGCTGCAGAGTGGCTCCTTCCCATGCCCACGTGGGGGTGGGAGGCTCCAGTTCTGGGGTTGCAAACACATTAGCAGTGCTCAGGAGCACAGAGGTGCTAAGTGCTGGGGACAGCTGCTCCACCACCTCCCACCTCCCCCTCGCAGGCATTAGCAGCTCATTGATGAAACACTTCCCCACCTCAGGCTCCTCCCTGACGAAGTTCTCACATCTGGAGCTGGAGCCCAGGCCGCCCAGCACCCAAATAATGTAGAGGCCCTGCACAGCACCCCTGCAGGCCCCGCCCCTGGGCAAGCACAGGCCCAAACAGCACCCTCTCAGGCTCAGGGAGGTCCAGCACAGATCCCACTGAACCCAGAGAAATCTGCTCCAGACCCACACTGCTGGCTGCCCTCCCTGAGCTGCCAGGTCCATATTCACCCCGGGTACAAGGCCTGTCTCCATGTTGGCACTTCCCTCCTTCCAGGCTCTGGCCACACCCACCTCTCCTGGGCTTGTGGTTGATGATACCTCTGCCTTTTCCACAGCAGGGAGCAGGCGCTGTGAGCACCTGGCTGTCCAGCCTTAGGCAGTGTTGCTGCTTCTGGCACTGAAGGTGCGCGCCGCTGCTACCCCAGACGCACACCCCAGACTTGTTTCGAAAGCCTTGGCTCTCAAGGTACCTGGGCAAGCCTCAGAACCTGGCTCAGCCAGCAAGTGCTCTCCTGCTGCTCTCAACCCATCGTCAAATCTCAGTCCCCGGGTCCTCTCCAGTCAGACCTCAGAGATCATTTCCATCCCCATCCATTAAATAAATGCAATTAAGGTGGAGCCTCTAGCACTTGCAACAGGATGAAATGAGCACAGGCAAGTACAGCGGACAGAACCCTGCTCCCGAGCACACCCCAGTGCTCCATGCTCCTGAACACACCGCAGTGCTCCGTGCTCTTGAACACACCCCAGTCCTCCATGCTCCTGAACACACTCCAGTGCTCCATGCTCCTGAACACACCCCAGTCCTCCATGCTCCTGAGCACACTCCAGTGCTCCATGCTCCTGAACACACCCCAGTCCTCCATGCTCCTGAACACACCGCAGTGCTCCGTGCTCTTGAACACACCCCAGTCCTCCATGCTCCTGAACACACCCCAGTC